TCAAAATCTACGTTCCTACTTAATATGTGCAAGAAAAGGAGAACGAATGTAAAATTCCCCGACATTTCCTGGTTTTCACGGTATGCCCTAACTGAGGCAACCCTGAATTTTAAAGGCTCGAATAGGCTCGAATCTGCTCGAATTCAACGAATCCTCAGACGTATCGCTTCACTCAAAAAAATTTCATGAGAATCAACCTGATACTGCTGAGATAGCGAAGAAAGCAAAAAGTGCAAAAATGAAGTTTTGAGAAAACGGGCTTACACTGAAAAAAATAATATGCTGTTTTAGCACCTAGGATGTCAAAAATGTGTCTGGTGATCCCAAGATGCTGCCTTTACTGCCCTTGCAGTTAACTTTACATCCTATGAATGCATTCAACTGCGTGGGCAATCAAGGTAGCATCTTAGGATCACCAGACACATTTTTGACATCCTAGGTGCTGAAACAGCATGCCATTTTTTCAGTGTAGAAGCATCTGACCGGAAAATTTTATTGAAAGAAGCCTCCGTTCTTTCTCAAATTATCACTAATCGTCCGAAAGGCTCCTAGAAATCATTTGGATGATTAAAAATCGACTGATTTAATTTCATTTACATAAAAAGGGTATTTTTCAATTTCATGCTAGGTTGTTGTTAGGCAAGACAACCGTAAGTGATATCTACTGCATGCTTTCGTGATTGCGTTTTGGACCCACAACAAACACATTTTCAGGTTAGGAATTGGCAGAAGAGGGCGGCACTTTGCTTGAAAGCACTGTTTTCATTGGCTCCCTGAAGAAATATTGTCACTTACTGCTGTCTTGCATGAAACTACGTCATTTTTCGCGCACTTACGGCTTTCTCATATATCTCGTTTCGATACGATTAAAATGAATTTTGCTGCTTAAGCTATTTCAGTGATTTCATCTAAAAGAGATTAGACAAATTTTGAAGGCAACTTGATTTTGAAAATTTGGCCCTTACCGCTCTCCTCGCTATCACGGCAGAATAGATGATAGATGAATCTCCACTGGATACAAGAAATCACTTCTCTTTTTTTGATGTGTAGAAAATAACGACGAAAACTGAGGTATGCGCTTTTACAGTTTCGATTGGCACCAAAAACCGGAAGTAAAGACAGCAGCCTCAAGAATAAAAAATCATGCGCTTTTCGAAGAATTTCCAAGTGTTTTTCTTCTCGAGACCTTTTTCGTAATCTATAAGTCTGAGAATGTTTTCCGTTTTTGTGATCTGCTTTCATTATCATCTGCGTAAATGACAACTTGGACCTACCTCGGTGTTCAGCAACACGTAATACATGAGCAGGGGGGATCTTCTGGCTCCAGTTTTCGGGGGTAGGTAACATTTCCAAGGTGAAGGTGTGGTGGAAGAGGGATGTGAAGGGTGGTTGGTGTGAATGGATTCACTATTATTTTGTTGCTATTTTCCTAGGTGCCTAAATATTTTCTTTTTCTTAAAAACTTAGCTGAGAATCACTAAATCAGACATTTTCCATATGCAATAAAGAAAAGTAACACCAAGCAACACGGAAAGCTTCAAACAGGGCGAGGACTTTTGAGCCTGTTTCGGCAACTTTTGGTTCTCTTTTGAGGTTGATCGCGATTTCCTTCGAGAATAAAATCTGTCTGTCAAACGATATATTTAATTTCAAGTGCTTTGTTATTTTAAACAAAAATGATTTATTAGTGAAGAGTTTAATTCAAGCACTTTTCGAGCACTTGCCGAAAAATCAAGTTACCCCTATCATGGCGAGGACTCTCGAGTCTGAGTCGGCAAATTTGTACTCTCTTTGAACGTAAATCACGAAGCTTTTCGCGAATAAGACGTCTTCTCAAACGTATACGATGAAGATAAGGTCAATTGGTTTGTCATTTTTTAAAAAAAGAGGATTTTACCGCTGTCAAAATTGATGAGTGAAATTTTTAAGTACCTTCGGCAATAATCAAGCTTTTTTAAAAGAAATTTCCAAGATCAGTGCTTTTTGAGGCACGAGCCATGAATGAAACCTAAAAATATGCGGCTGGACGCGGACGATTTTATGTTGGTTCCATGTCCATAACGTATCTGTGCACTGGGTTGAATCCCCCCTTTTGCTTACGCTGACAGGCATGACATTAACGTCAGATTGCGCAATGTTCGAGCGCAAACTGCCAATAAAACATGACCTTCCGACAACTTCTGACACCATTGTGTTATATGCATCGAGTATTTGAGGAGGTAATTGTTGATACTGAGGTGTACGTGGTAACAATGCGGTGACCATGCAAGAGCCGGAAATAAACTATGAAGTTAGGATTTTTTTTTCATTCATCCAATGAAAGCTTAAGAACGTGCGCTCTTTGGGTTCTATAATATTTTGTAGGAATTTCCTCACGGCTCCATAAATTCTAATTCGTAGGGGAAAATTCGAAGAAAAGATACCGCAAAAACCAGGGTTCTTACAATATCTTTACTTTCCAATTCCCTTTCCCCAATGAGCCATGAAAGCGGCATATTCCAATCAAAAAGTGCAGGGTTTTTTGGTGCAGGCAACGGAATATTCTGCCGTGCCAAGGAAGAACGCCGTATGAACATTCAAGAGTTGCCAAATTTCACTTGATAAAAAATGAATTTTTGACAACATTTGTGCATATTTCACCTTGAAATTTTCAAACACTTTAGATTAAATTGCGTACAAAATCGTCCGAAAATTTTGGAAAATAATATTCGCAATTTTCCCAGTAGGTTTTTATCGCAGGAAGCTTGGCAACGTCTGAAGGCTCATACGGCGTTTTTCCTTACCATGACAGTATTCTAGGTGAGGCAGCCTGTCTCACCCTGTCTGTCTGCACTCGGCAGTCTGTCTCACCCTGTCTGTGGCCTGTCCGTACTAACGGCAATGGCATATATCAATGGCTTAAGTTGAAGAATGCGTGTGTCTGCACTGCAATGTTGCAGAATCTCCAGCTAGGTTTTTTTTTTTGTTTTCAAAGGAAACAAACCAAATTATCTCCTTGGGATTTTCTGTGAATATGTTAATTAAATGGGTGATAAAATTCACAAATAATTTCAACAAAAACTGTTGGTTAGTTTCCCTTTAAAACTTAGGCAGAAATTTACAACGTCGTAATCGGAGATACGCATTTCCTGACTTTCACTATGACCATCGATATGTTGTTTCTAAAATGAGTCCAAAATAATGGGACCGCGTTAAACAGAAAGGAACCAAGCCACATCAGCTATTGCCAAATTTAATCGGGCAAGTTAATTTTTTTCATGACAACGGTGGTGCGGATTTTCGTGCAAATTTCAGTGAAAATTCTCCATTATTTGAAGCGAATTCCTTAAAAATTTCAAAGGAATCCGCACAAACGATCTCTCGTAAAAAATTAAACTGCCCAGTTAAATTTGGCAATAGCAGATGTGGCTTGGTTCCTTTCTGTTAAACTCGGTCCAATGGTTCCTAATTGAAAAATGAAGACAAATTATGGAGGAAGGCACTCGGCCGTTATTTGCGCTCTCTCGGGTGAAGTTGCTGAGCCTAAACTCTTCCTAATAGATGTCGATGATTGTTGAAAAACTTTTAATACGTTTGCATTAGGAAACCCTCATTGACTATCTTTTTAGGCAAAATTTACTAGCGGTAAAATTGAAGTAGAAAAGTGTTTAAGAAACAATTACGTTAACTGTAGTTTATCAACACTTAAAATGTTTGAAAAAATTTTAAAAAACTACAGTGATATTTCAAGAGTTTTTTTCAAACACTTTTCCTTAAATTTTACCGCCTGTAAATTATACTTAAAAAATAGCCAAAAAGGGTTTCCCAATACGAAAATTTTAATAGTTTTTTGTAAGAGGTTAGAAACATGTTTTAAAAGGTCAATGCTACCAGGGACTCGTGAAATTTCCTGATTTTTCAAGTTTTCCAGACCACAGAAAACTCTGAAGAACACTTTAAGGCTCTCAGACATAATTTAGGAGCAAATCCTGAAAACTTCATGGCAAAAATTTTACATTTCTTGGAGACATTTACATTAAATGAAAAATCTAAAAAACACAACTAGAGAGAACCGTTCGGCAAGTAGTACATGAACAGCTCTGTTGACAATTGAATGCTTCACCTACGTCTGTGAGGCCAATCTTGTGGCTATAAGAAACAGACAATCAAAACTGACTACGATTTCGGGAAAAACAGGCTAGCAGCAACAGCATCGCTCATATAAACACGCATAATTTTGAATGATCTAAACAAGCGAATAGTCCAGTTTTGGCGATGAGAGTATCTGTTTGATTCTAAGTCACTGTAGCTGACACATATATTGACGGTGAAACTACCAGACCACGTATCTCGTTTGGGGAGTTTAAAAACCTCCGGTCCCATTTTATGTTATTGAAGGAGCACAAATCAATGATCTAAACAAGCGGATGGTCCAGTTTTGGCGATGAGAGTATCAGTTTGATTCTAAGTTACTGTAGCTGACACACATATTGACGGTGAAACTACCAGACTACGTATCTCGTTTAGGGAGTTTAAAAAACTCCTGCCCCATTTTAAGTATGTTATTGAAGGAGCACAAATCAACATCAGTGTTTGAAATATTTACAGGGTTTTCTTCGCATGAAGAGGAAACACCACAGAGTTTTCAAGTATAGTAGAGTAGTTTTCCATTTGAAAAATGAAGTACCTATGACAGGAAGTTTACAACATCGCAAACTGAGATGCACCGTCTCATAGTTTCACCGTATCAGTTCATGTGAGGCATTGATGGGTTCACACTTCCTCCTAAAAAGCAAACACTATATATGTGCGTTAATACTGCACAGTACACATCGGTTTATTTATTCTGACAAACACCAGTGCAGTCAACAGGTATATGGTGACTCGTAAGTTTTTAGTATGTACCTACTCGTGGTGTTGATACTTAATTTGCAGTGAAATTTTTTGTGTACCTCAATAATCAAACCACAGCAAAGGGTGTGAGTACTTAATTTTGAAAGGGATGATTTGTCAGAGCTTACCTTCGAACTCCTCTTCACTCCAATATCAATGCCAGCTGGCTGTGTCGACACTGAATATCCAATCAACGAATTTAGGTTCGAAATCAGTCTGATCACTGGCAGAGCCGGTGCATTCAGCATTCACGACTCTAACTGAAGATCAAGATCACACCTGCACGTAGACGGCGCACGATTGATGATAAGGAATCGTATCAAAACTTGACCTCGAAACCGCGAAATTGATTCAAGACACAGACAGAGGAGTACTGAACGCGAAACAGAAGTCCAGTATGAGACGCCCGGTCATGAACAAACACGAATACTGAAAATGTGCGGATCTGTTGAATAAGCGACCATTATCAGTTAGCGGCAGAGAAATACACACGAGCAAGCGGCCCGGCGAGAATGCTGTCACTGTCTGTAGAAAGAGACGGAACAATAACAAAAGGTTGGAGTGGGGATGGGAGTGGGGATGGCAACTGGCGCCGCACAGTGGATCGAGTCATTGGGTGAGGTCGGACAAAATTTAGAAACTTTAAAAACTCATGTAACTCCGTTCGCATACAAAACTTAGAGGCTTTCAACGTGATTCCATTGGTTTCCAAGTGAAATTTTGTACTGGAAGCACCCCTTCAAATTCAAAATGTAACGAAATAAACATCAAAATTTGAAATTTTAGTAAAAATGCCATTTACGACCTCTCTGATTGACGCAGGGCCGGATTAAGGGGGTGGCCACATGGGCCGCGGCCCATGGCGGCAAAATTAGGGGGCGGCAAATTTTGCAATTTTTTTCAATGCAGGTACAAAAAAATCTGGTTCAGAAAAAAATTACAAACAAGAAAAGGTGACCAAATCTCTCATTTCCTGAGAGTTCATTAATTTCTAATTTTGTCGTATTATGTAAGTACCTTCTCTTCTGTTCTTTCTCCTCTGCAGACACAGTTTTTGGTACATCATCTCGTATTTTCCAAGAATTCCAGTGATTCCAGAGCAGTATTTTGTCCCGTCTGCAGGACCGAATTTAGGGGGTGGCCACATGAGCCGCGGCCCATGGCGCCAAATTTTTCAAATTTTTTAAATGTAGGTGTATAAAAAAAATAGGATTCAGAAAAAGAATTACATACGAGAAAAGGCGACAAAATCTCTCATTTCCTGAGAGTATAGTAATTTCTAATTTTGTCGTATTTCGGTGATACAAAAGACTGCACACCTTTAAGTAGTTGAGTTAAGAGAGAAACCAAACACGTAATTTGGCCTGGAGCGACGCGGCGCAAAGAGAAATGATGACGAGGACTTGAGATGAAAAGGAGAAGCCCTTGACGCGGCGGTCGGCATGTAACACATATTAGCGCCTACGAGACTGCATGAATACTTCACGCATTGCGTCAAATGTAGTACGGTCAACAGCGGTTGGCGCGGCGTGAAACGCACAGTGCCTACAAGACTACATGAATACTTCACGCATTGCGCCAAACACAGTGTGGTCAGCGCGGCACGGCGGCGGAAGTTAAAATTATTAAACCACATTTATGTTTGTTCTTTCATAATTTTTTAGTTAATTTCTTACAAATGAAAGGCCTTGTCCCCACAGAGATAGGTTTACGGAACTGAACTTTTGCGCGAAGTTCCGTGAACTTTTGCTAGCAGTGTTGACAGGGCTTACGCAAAAAATGTGTCCAACACGAGTGAATGCGTCTTACGCACCCTTCTCCCTCCGGCACGTTCACTTGATGTATGTATTTTCATCATGGATGCCTTATGTCTTGTGCCTTCCGGTTTTTATTAATGTTTCAAAATGAATGAGGAGAGGGCGGCAAGTAGGTAAATCCGGCCATGGATTGATTCGATCCAGTGTGCGCCGCAGAAGTGCCCAACCCCCCCTGAAAAT